TATATAGCAAGACACATTCGTTCAAACATTTAATCGTTATAACAACGACATCACATCTGGAAACCATAACTTCTCGGAAGCAAGGTGATATGTAGTCTAATACTTTGTGTAAATTTTGGATTTTTATTATTATTTAAAATTGTAAAACAAAATCCGTTTAGCTACTTTTTTGTAATGATTTACCACGAAATTATTTACTCAAACACCGCGTTCCTCCATCTTCTGTGTTCAATTTACAAGTAGATGCTGAAGATGATGTTTACCTCTGAAAATTTGGAGATAGTCCTGAAGATGCAGTTATTTTGGTGTTCTGTACTAGTCGTTGAAGTAGTACAGAAAGTAGTACAAGATGTGATTCAGGAAGATGAGATGCATAATTGCTGATGGGGGGCTCGAGTACTTGGGTGTTGGAGCGTTTGTCAAGTCAAGAAAAGGAAAATTATCTTTGTTTGAAGCAAAAGGAATCATGTAAGTAAAGGGGAAGTTTGCTTGAAGAGAAAAGGAAATTGACAAAAAGGAAAACCTTTTCCTTATGGGATTTGGAAACTTTCTCTTCTGTGTGATTGGAAGAGCTTGAGGCGCAAGTTTCTTTTTGTTATATAAGGGGGACGTGACCTTATGAGAATGTGGATTTGCAAGAGTAAAAATCCCAAGGAGATTCGATGTGAGAGATTGTGTGTGTGATCGTGTGCGACGTAGTTTCGCGGGTTAAATGCTTGTGTGATCAAGCTTATTTTTGTGTTGGTGTTGAAGGTTCTCGTTGGAGAGTTTTGGTGACCATTGGGTTCGTTGGTGTGACGATTCGTGTGTGGTGGTCGTTCGAGAAACTTTGGAGAATTAAAGTCTAGACTCAGGGGGAGTTTAGCTCAGGGTTAGGTTATCCTGATTAAATCTAGGCTCAGGAGAGTTTAGTTAAGGGTAGAGATTTATCCTTAAGGTTTCACGTTATAGAAGGGAGCGGTAAATCAAGAGGGTTGGGCTTGTTTTACGCGTTTGCGAATTGGTTGTAATTTGCTTTCTTGTTATAGTGAAATCGAATCTGGACTTGGTCCCGGGGAGTAGGAAAAACCGAACCTCGTTAACAAATTTCTTGTCTCGTTTACTTTATGCAATTTATCTTACCTCATCCGCACTTACAAGTCCAGCTTCAAATCTCTCTACTACAAAGACTTGAGACCATCTACACCCTTCTAGCACTAAGATGAATTGGTTTGACTCTGTTTGGTTTAAAGGTAGAATCCCCAAACATTCTTTTATTGTCTGGCTCAATTCTCGCCACAGACTACAGACTCGGGACAAGCTGATTAGGTGGGGTTTAGCTTGTCTACAGAATACTGACTTGTCTTCTCTGCAACTCCGTGGATGAATCTAGGTAGCACTTTTTTTTTTATTACTCCTATGTTATCGAAGTGTGGCACTATATCTTTGATAAAGCCCATGTTTTTCCTCCAACTATGTTTGATGATGGAGAGATGGCTTAGGAATCCATTTCGCGACAAGAACACTGCGTAGATTCTCTGACTAGCCTTTAAAGTATCTATGTACTACATTTGGAAAGAGCGTAATTCAAGACTTCATAATTCCTCCCCAAGCATGCCTCTATTCTGATTTTAGAGATCAAAAACATTCTCCAGTATTACCTTGACCTTTTATCTAGAGTTCAAAAGATCATTCCTCATGCACCTTCTCTTTTGGTCACTTAGTTTGGTGTTTTTCTGTAGTTTATTCGTTGTAATTTATATTTTTATGTTGTAGGTCAAATTTCTTCCTTGGTGGCTCTCGTTGTATTTCCGGGTTTTCACATTAATGAAAGGTATGAGTTAAAAAAAAAAAAAATTATTTACATCACTAAAATATGTTATTAAACCATGTCTTTTTGTTCTGATATAAGTTGATTGTCGATTTTCCATATTTAATCAGTAACCAGGCCCAGCGACCCAAAAAAGTCAGTTACCAGGCCCTATAACCAATAATAATACACAGTGCTGGTCAAAACCGAGCCAACATGTAAGTTGGGCCTAATGTTTTATGGCCCAATAATAACGCAGGGGAGAGTTCATACATGATCTTTTGATCTTTATACCTCCGCTTCAATTATAAATCTCCCGGCGAAGAAAATAACCGGCGAATTTCACTTCGCCGACAAAGCAAAGTTATGGCGGGCATGGCTGCGGTGGCAGGATCACGACCGTGGAACGCGTTTATTCAAGCTCTAGTTCTGATATCTCTATCATTTCCCGCTCTCTCCAGCGCTTACCGACCTGGAGATATCGTCCGGATGAGCAAGATGGGGCAATATCACTCAGTTCGTACTCCTCCTCTTTACATTTAGCTGAGATTAATTTCTAATTTGATGGAGACTGAAGGATCTGTTGATTCTGTGGCAGTCGAGAACCACTTGGCATGATGTGATCGGAAAACATTGCCCGATCTTCGCCGTTAATCGCGAGGTACTTTGTGTAAATAGTTTTTAAACATTTGATGATGGAGAATTTGGAAATTTAGATTGAATCTTGTCTTTCTTTGCCAATTTTTAGGTGTTGATCCCCATAGCGAAACCAATTGGCTACACAGGAACTGATCCATATAAAATGTGAGAATCCATCTTGAATTTGTATAGCTGTATTTGGTGATTTTGAATTGAGATTGCTGTGTCACTTGCCTAGTTCATCACTGGTTTAACTGGCTTTTAGACTGTATTTAGCAATTTCTATTGTTGCTACTCAGAAAGGAAATGATGAAAATACTGTGATGTTTCCGCCATTTCTCATCTGTTTTGATTACCGTAAGCGATTTTGTATGGTTTGTTCTAGCTCTGTCTTGCTGCAGATTGTGATTTTTTTTTTCCTGATGTTTTATATGTGCTGAACATGGAGCAGGATATTGACATATTTATCGTGTTTGTACATTAGTCATATGCAAGTTAGAGAAATTTGGTGCCTGATGTGTTGATATTTTATGTGCAGAAAATTCCAAGTTGGAAGTGAGAAATATCTAATTCACTGGCTTTTGGTAATAAACCGTAAGAGCTCAGAAGTTCCAATGATCGATGTAAATTTGGTATGTTAAGCATTGATTTTGAGTCGTTTTCTAATATTCGACTGATTAGATTATTTGCTACCAAGAAAACTGGGAGATTTGTATAATACCAGCTTTTGGATTTTTCGGTGTGGCTTGATTTTTTCATTTGCACAGAGATATTCTGGAGGAGATCTGCTTGGAGTCACAGCTGAAGTTGTTGATATGCCTCATAGCTGTATGTAATACTCGTTATCTAGCTATTTTGTCCTGACTTATTTCCGTCTATCTTCTCAGCGAATAAGAGAATTTTGTCTGTTCTGGCTTAACCAGATATGCCAGTTCTTACGTTCATATCTTAAAACTCAAGATTATATGACATAATATGTAGTAGCTTCTCAGGGTTGGATGCTTAGTTGCTTAAACCCCATGTCTTAGGCCTAGTTAAGTTAACCTGGCTTCAATTTTACAATGCTTTCTCCAGAGAGTCTAACATTATCTGGTGAACGTCAAAACATTTTCACCTTTTTGGAGACACTGGGTGCTTATATAGAGGCAGTTTGCTTTATAGTCCCAGTTTTTTTCTGCTGTTATCATTATGTCTATATCACAGACTGATTCAATCCAACTTTTTGGTGGCGGTACTCAATTAAATTTACATTTTCATGCTCATCTATGATTCCATGGTTTCCTTATTTCGTACAAGTTGCCTGAACCATGTTTATGTTAATAATGGCATTGATTTTTTTTGTAAGGAATGAACACCATGCTCTGATATTTTAATCTGCAATTCTACTTCCATTGCCATAGAGTAGCACTCAGTTACTTCAAATATTTGCAAGGCAACATCAGTATATCTGAGTTGAGATTTTATCCATGAACAGATCTAAATACACACCCGGAGATCCGTAAGCAGTTCTGGGATCCTGAACACTGGCCAAAACATGTTCTAGTTAGATACACATGGTACACTAATTTTGCCAACCTCTTTCAGCTTTTTTCTCCTCTCTCCTTGTTAAGGAACATCACGTTAGTGATACGTGGCTGAGACACTTTATTGTGATGCAGGAAGGAGCAGTCAGAGATTGATGTATCCTCGGGATTTTATGTCCTCTTTGGCTCAGGTAATTCCTGTTTCGTCTTGTTAATCAATTAATTAATTAGACAATAAGCTTATACAATGTATACTGATGTTGTTTACTTGTGATCAGCTCTCACATTTTCTTTTGTACTCTCCATTTACGTCTTACAATCTTCACGAGAGAAGCTGGCGAGGTAAATGGTGTTCCTGTCCTCTGCAATTCATACGTATATCTTTCTTTCTTGAACCTACTTCTTGAAAATGTTGTTGTAGGTTTGTAAGAGAGACGGTGGTGGAGAGCAGCAGCACGAATGTTGGAGAATTTGGCAAGGCGGATTGAGTCAATAGTCAAGTATATGTATGTTTCTACAGTTTTAGATGCTTGGAATTCGTCGTTCAACTCTCTCTATCCAGGATTTTACTATTTTGTTTTAAAAAGAGTGCAAAAAGAAGAAGAGATTCTTGTATAAAACATGAATAGTCGAGAGCAAAACTTTGTCCGTGTAACATTTGGTTCAATAGATTTACGTTTCGTGGATTAGGTTACAATATCAATTGCATTTCCTTATATTCTTAAAATCTTAATTTCTAAAGACTTTTTTTTTGTCAACATTTCCAAAGACTTTTTACTCTATAGCTTTGTTAGAGCAAAACCATACTTCAAAATAAAAGCTTGAACAAAATCGAAACGGACCAGACTGAAGTAGCTAACTGATGTGCATATCTTAAATTTGTCTATAGTTTGAGGGATCCAAGACAATAAGTCAATAAGTTTATTACTTGCATAAGAGAAGCGTGACTCTGTTTCAGTGCCCTGAAATCAATCTAATACTACCACCAACGTTGACATGTTGCTAAGTAGGACATATGTTGAACAATGACTGGCCTTTAAGGGAAAAAAATGTGCATACAAGAATGAATAACATTTTTATATAGTATATAGTATAGATCTGATCACAAAACGGAGAGGACGAAGTAATTGGCTTAGATTAATTTAAACTACAAAAGCCAAAGATAAGAGAAGAGAAAGCAATGCAATAAATGAAACCAACCACCAACTAACCTCACACCTTCTACTTTCATGCATTTGGGCTCTTCGCTCTCTCTATATAAAACCCAACCTTCATTACCATTAATCATCATCCAATCCATTACTTACTTAAGTAAAAAAGAGAAACAAAAAGTTTAAAGATATGGAGGGACTCTTGAAGTTGTCAACTTTGGTGATTGTGTGCATGTTAGTGGCCGCTCCAATGGCATCCGAGGCAGCAATCTCGTGTGGCGCAGTCACCGGCAGCTTGGGTCAATGCTATAACTACTTGACCCGAGGCGGTTTCATTCCTAGAGGGTGTTGCTCTGGCGTTCAGAGGCTCCACAGCATGGCTCGTACCACCCGTGACCGACAACAAGCTTGTCGTTGTATCCAGGGAGCAGCTAGAGCATTGGGTTCTCGACTTAATGCTGGTCGAGCTGCTCGTCTCCCTGGTGCTTGCCGTGTTAGGATCTCTTACCCCATCAGTGCCAGAACCAACTGTAACACGTACGTAATTTTCTCTCACTCTATTTATTATACATTTTTACTTGAGATTGTAATATTTTTGTTTGGATTTTGATGTATGTGGTTGGTTATGTAGCGTGAGGTGATCAAGAGGTGATAGACGCTGAAGGGTTTTCATATAATCTATGAGAGAGTATTAAAAAATAATTAAGATGTCACTATATAAGAGTGTATCCTTTATACTGTTATTGTTGCTGTGTTTTAGAATTTGTGTTTTCATGCGTTTCTTTATATATGACGACGGTCCATTTAATTGGTCGTCTGTGTTATGTACTCCTCTAATGATATATGGAATTACGATATATATAGTATGTATTATTTTCAAAATCTTGCCACTCACTTGGCCATGTTATGCTTTGAATGTATCCGGTTCCTTCTTCTCCTCAGTATAATAAACTACCGTACACTAAGTTTGTATAATACGATTATTATCAACTGACTTAATTAGAGGTAAAAAAAATAATTTCTAATCAATATTAAGATAGTCCAATGGACTGATTCGTATGCTTTTAAAACAGATACTTGGATTCCTTAATACATGATATGTTCAAAATAAAACAAAAAAGCTTAGAATTAAGGTTCGATTTCATTAGTTTACTCTAGAGACAAGAGTTTCCTCAAAATTTTGTGTTTGCCAGAAAGATGATCGTATATGAGGAAAAACAGTAGATCTTCACAGCACAAGAAGCTTTTTTAATCAATCCTTACCTACTTCTTCACACACACTCACAACTTGCTCATTTACACTTATCACTCTTTCTTTTGTAATCTTTTTCGTCGGTGAGTGACTGAGTGTGTGATATGTCGATCGACCCTACATGCAGTTGCTAAAGCACCTTACTTTTTTTCTTCCTATTTTAAGCGTTACTTTTTAAAGTAAAAACCCTGAAAATTTACCAAAAACATTAAAATGTCCATCGACTCTAGACCTTTTACTGATTTCCTTTATTGAACTTTGTAGAGTGTTTTCCAAGCATAAATTAATTACAACGATTACATTACCATGTATAAAACGAAAAAAAAAAATGGGGTTATCATGTTCTAGATCGATTTACGATTAAACAGATAATATCCATTTTCTAAAATGAGTTGCCTACGACATTTTTTCTTTTGCTGATATTTTTTAAAAATAATTCGCCTAGGAATTGTGGAGATCCTTTTGGATTTCTCCAAGTACGTGTGACCGTATAACCTCCAAGAGTCCTTGTTCGATAAATATCCAAATCTCTTTGTCCGTCTATTGTTTTCCACGCTTTCCTCTCTTGTCATTTTCCTTTGATGTCTCCAACTCTTTACCATTTGATGTTTTGGACCATTACCAATTTTTTTTTCTCTATTCCATTACTTCCTTGAACTGCCACTTGATCACCATTTTCGGTCCACACGTCCAAGAGTTTCCTTACTCACGTGTGGCCTCATAAATTTGTGCTTAGCCTTACGAACACCTTGTTTGACATGTACCCAAAAACAGTACCATCTCAATCTATGGAAAGACCCTTGGTAATACCAAAAAAAAATTTAAACTTTCTTATTAAAAAAAAATTCTAAAAACTAGATCCTTTTTCTTCACTAAATTTTTTAAAAACGACTTGGACCCATGGTAAATGCATATGTTGCCATGGGATTACCCAAAAATAACATAACTAGTATACACACATTTCTTTATATTCAAATCAATGTAATGCATGTTGACAAAAAAAAAAAAAAAAAATCAATGTAATGCAATGCAATCCATTGTAATTACATATGTTTCCACTTAATTAGATGTAAAAAATAAGAAGCATATGTTTCCACTTTATTCTCTGTTGATCATTAAATTTTTTTCAATATAATTAAATTATTTGCTTATCTAGTTTGTTCAGAAAATATTGATACTTCCTCCGTTCTTTTATAAGTGATGTTTTAGGAGAATGCACATAGATTAAGAAATCATTTAATTTTTGTTTATTTCTAAACTAAAACATTCTTTATTATATAATCAACTAATGAAAAAACAATCTACATAATCTAAATAGTCAAAACCAATAAAAAATAATTAATTTGCATTGAAAATTGAAAACATCATCTATTTAAAAACAAAATTAGAAGCTTAAAACATGACTTATAAAAGAACGGATGGAGTATAAGATTTCGAAATACCAAACAGCCCATTTAATATTAAACTAGAAGAAAACTATTTAACGCAAAACCATTACATTTTTAATTTGTAGAGATAACTATTTATTCTGTTCCAGGTTGGATCTAGTTTTCTGACGCTACATCTTCTTGAAACTCAATTAAGCGATGATCGGGAATGTAACGTATTTACATTGGAATATGTGTATTTTTAATCTTAAACCAAAAAATAAAGTTTTCATTAAATTTGCATGCATATGGAACTAAGCATAATTAGCGGGTACGCATGACCTTCATGAGTTTTTCCAATTATAAAAACCCTACCGACCTCAACAAAGTAAAAGTAATAAAAACAAAATGGCGTTTGCTCCAAAGATCATCACATGCCTCATCGTCCTTACGATTTACATGGCATCCCCAACAGAGTCAACCATCCAGTGTGGGACAGTGACAAGCACACTGGCACAGTGCGTAAATTACTTGACCAACAGTGGTCCACTGCCATCAGAATGCTGCGTGGGAGTCAAATCATTGTACCAAATGGCTCAGACCACACCGGACCGCAAACAAGTATGTGAGTGCCTTAAAGCAACGGGTAAAGAAATCAAGGGGCTAAATACTGACCTTGTGGCCTCACTTCCTACCACTTGTGGTGTTTCAGTTCCCTACCCCATCAGTTTCAGCACTAATTGTGATAGGTACGTCTCCATAACTTTATTTTTGTTTTATGTTAGATTGTTTTTTTTTTTTTTTGGTAAGATGTTAGATTGTTTTGTTTTGTTTGCAATATAAATAGCTTTGATATACACTTGACTCCAAAATTATATACGAGTTACCGGATTCAACTAATTACTTAATCAAACTAGGAGATATCATTTTTTATTGAGAAATTGTTAAAAATGCCCCTTTTTCAATACCCCTTTTCAAAAATGCCCCCTTTGAGAGTCCATTTTTAAGTTTGCCCTCTTTTAATTTTTAATGACCATTTTACCCTTATTTGAAACAAAATTAGGTCCACAAAATACAAAATATTTTTTGGGAGGAAAAGTGATCTCCCAATTTTCCCGCCAAAACACTTGTAAAAAACCTTTAAAATACCTTGTAAAATTTTCCCGTAAAATTTTTTCCCGCCAAAAAATTTTCCCGCCAAAAATTTTTTTTTGCGGGAAAAGTGATTCCGCAATTTTTTTGGCGAAATTTTTTTGGCGGGAAAATTTTTGGCGGGAAAAATTTACAAGGTATTTTAAAGGTTTTACGAAGTATTTACAAGTGTTTTGTAAGGTTTTACAATGTATTTTAAAAGGTTTTACAAGGTACTTATAAAGTTTTATAAGGAATTTATAACTTGTAAAAAACTTGTAAAACCTTATAAAAAACTTGTAAAATCTTATAACTTGTAAAACCTTATAAAATAGCTTGTAAAATCTAATAATATCTTATAGATACCTGTAAATACGAGTAAACCCTTTTAACGTACATTGTAAAACCTTAT